ATTCATCTCACAGAAAATTTAAGTGGACAAAAACAAGTATAATGTTATTACAAAACTTTTAAGAACTGGAAATAGCCTAAAATATCCATCAATAGAGGGTAACTATTTAAATTAAGAGACTTAAGGTGGCGCGTTGGTTAAAAGTTGGCTTGGGGGCTGGCCGAGTGGCGCGATGGTTAAGAACTGGCTTGGGATGCCAGGTGCCCCGGTTTGGATCCCACATATGAGGGCCAGTGACACTGCCCTCCACAGCTAAGATGCTGAACAACAGCTCAACGTGGAGCTGGGCTGCCGAGTCGCCTGCGATGGTGTAGGCTGCAGCCCCTGTGGCAGTGGGTTGCCATGGGCTACCATGTGTAGCCAGCAGCCAGCGTGAGCGGCGGCCATCCAGAAGCCGGTAACTAATCTGCCTCACGCGGGAAGAGCACAATGATGGTGCCAACTTGGGCCAGTGAAGCAACGTCCTCCACTGGATTGAAGAACAAAACAACAGCAACTTGTCTGTTCCCATCATCCCAATTCCCAAATAAAAATCTTAAAAAAAAAAAAAAGTTGGCTTGGGATGCCAGCTCTGAGCAGCAGGACCTGGTAGGTTGCAGTGGGCTGCCGTGAGTTACCGTGAGTGGCCGGCGGCGTGAGTTGCTGTGAGCCGCCGTCCAACAGTCAGCGAGCAACTGCCTCACCCTGCAAGAGCCCAATAATACCAACATGGGCCAGTGAAGCGACGTCCTCCACAACTAGATTGAAGAACAAAAGGACAGCAACTTGTCTGTTCCCCTCCCCCAATTCCCCAATAAAATCTTAAAATAAATAATACTCATACAATGGAATATGTCTCAGCTGTTTAACATGAAAATATGCCCAAGTTTTGTTGATAAGAGTGAAACTGCAGAGTATGTGAGCATAAATAAAAACAGCTGATACCAAAGGCACAGGCAACAAAAGTAAAAATAGATACTGAATTACATCAAAATTAAAAACTCCTGTGCATCAAAAGACAATCAACAGAGTGAAAAGGTAACCCACAAAGTGGGAGAAAATATTTGCAAATCATATCTAATAAGGTTAATATCCAGAATATGTTAAGAATTCCTTCAACTCAACAACATAAATATGTTTAAAAATGGAGAGGGGTTTGGGGGATAGGGGAGAAGGCAAAGGGATTAGAAAGTACAAACTGGTAGTCACAAAATAGTCATGGGGATGTGAAATACAGTATGGGGACTATAATCAATAATGTTGTAAAGATTATATAGGGTGACAGATGGATGCTGGACTTATCGGGGGGATCATTTCACAGATTGTGTAGATAAATACCTGACCACTGTGTTGTACACCTGAAGTTGAAGTAAAATATTGAATGTCAACTATAATTAAATATTATATATATGGTCACAGGATGTAAAGTACAGTATAGGGAATATAGTCAATGGTATAATAGCTATGCACAATGTCAGGGGGAATTATCACTTTGTGAGGGGTGTAAATGTCTCATCATTGTTTTGTACACCTGAAACTAATAAAAAAAAGCCATTAAAAAAATGAGCAAAGATCTTAAATAGACACATCTCCAAAGATACACAAATGACCAATAAACATATGAAAATATGCTCAACATCACTAATTGTTATGGGAAAGCAAATCAAAACCACAATGAGATATCGCCTCTCAATCACTAGGACAGCTGCAAACTAAGTTTTGCTGAGGATATGGAGAAACTGGAACCCTTGTGCCCTGTTGGTAAGAATGTAAAATGTTGAAGTTGTTGCAGAAAACAGTATGATGCTTCCTCAAAAAAAAAATCTTCCGGGCATATACTCAAAAGAATTGAAAGCAGGGTCTCAAAGAGATATTTGCACACCCCTGTTCATAGGAGTATTATTCACAATAGCCAAAAGGTGGAAGTAACCCATTTCTATTGACAAGTTGAAATGTATAAACAAAATGTGGTATATACATATACAATAGAATATTATTTAGCCTTAAAAAGGAATTAAATTCTGACATTCTACAACATGGATGAAACTTGAGGACATTATGTGAAGTGAAATAAGCCAGTCACAAAGGCAAACATTGTGTGATTCCACTTTTATGAGGTATCTAAAGTACGTAAACTCAGAACAGAAAGTATAGTGGTTGCCAGGGGCTGAGGGAGGGAGGAATGGTAAGTTGGTTTTCCTTTTTTTCTTTCTAGCTGAGCCATCCTGCCACCTGTTGGCAGCTCAGTGGCTGCTCAGCTCGGGCCAGGACTCGAACCGCTGTTGCTCAGAGCTCACACTCTTGAGCGAGCTCCTAACCAACTGAGCCACTCAGCCGGCCCAGGAAGTTGGTTTTAATGGGTATAGTTTGTTTTGCAAGATGAAAAAGTTCTAGAGACTGGTTGCACAACGTGAATATACTTAGTTAAATATGGTTAAGACAGTAAATAAATGTGTATTTTACCAAAATTAAAAATAAAAATTAAAAAAATTTTTTAAAGTAAAAATACCAAAATGGCAAACAAATGAAACTATACATATTTGTAAAGAGTTTAAAAGGATAAGCATCTAACTCTTAATAGTGATTACCTAAGGAGAATACTGATAGGAAAAGGAAGCACTTTTATTTTCTACTTTGTATCCTTCCATACTGTTTGAATTTTGATAACATGTACTAAGCTAACACATACATATTTTCTTTTTTTTTGGGGGGGGGGGGCGGAGAACAGTGTTTTTCCAGGACCCATCAGTTCCAAGTCAAGTAATTATTTCAATTTAGTTGTGGTGGGCGCAGCTGAGTGGCCCATGTGGGGATCGAACCGGCAACCTTGGTGTTATGAGCACTGTGCTCTAAACAACTGAGCTAACCAGCTGCCCCTATGCTAATATTTTTAAATTCAATTTTTAAAAATTCCATTGACATAACTTCTAAATTAAACTCTAGGTACTAATAGACTTAAGTTCTTATGCCACCGTAAGTTTTACCTAGCATCTCATCTCTTCCCAAAAGCATGCCATGAGTAGGTGGTTATGATTAGTTCTAGAAGGAATAATTAAGGAAAAGCTCCTGTGTCACTCAGTGAACATGAGATGCTGCCTGTTAGGCTCACCCCAGGAACTGCCTATGATACTTCCTGGCCAGTAATACCATATCCAAATTAGAGATCCTCTCTAATCCTCAAACTGACAAATAGGATACAATGATAATAGCTATTGCCTGCAAACACAAAATCCTAGGGTTTTCAAACTATTCTTATCCTTTCTCCCTACCTACTAATAGAACACCAAGCACTTAGGACTTTTTCAGTCTGATTTTCCTCCCCTCCCCCCTTCAAGAATGTTACAAGAGAGTTAGTGGGTGGTTAGCAAGACCCTCTCAGAAACCAACAGCCATTCCAGAAAAGAAATTGCTCACATGCCAAGGACTGCCAACAAGAGCAGCTGCAGCATGTTTTAATAATGCTAATGAAGCCTCCTGTAACACAAATTCTGATTGGAAGAAAATAAATCTAGATTGTGGAAAAGTACAACTTAAAAAGCAAACACTGCAGGCTTTGGTAGAGCACAAAAGCAAGCAGAGATTTCTAAACACAAAGCTCAATTGTAAGAGTTCAACTGTACCTTATTTCTCACTATTATCATTTGCTCTGTTAAAAATAGAACCTTCCATGTCTTGATCCATTCAGAATAAGCCACAGCAGGCAGTTTTGCTTACATAAAGCAGCCAGGTCAGAAAGGCCGCACAGGGAAATGGAGGAAGCAGCCAGCAGGTTTTCTTAGGGATTATACTGCTCCAGCTTTTATCCTTCCCATCTATTTTGGTGCCAAGAAAGCTGCAGTCTTTGCTCTGAAAAAGCTTTTCACCAGAAAGGCTGAAGCAGTCTCAGGGCTCCAACTCCCTCTGCTGCCCAATGTTTTCTGTGCATGTTTTAGCAGGTTCAATATATTTCAAACTCAAATGTTAAAAAAGCTAAAGCAGCCCTTTATTTCAAAATATTACCAAAAATGCACAAGTTCAAATAGGAGCGGAACAGCTCAAATGCCAAGTTCTAAGCTGGACTAATTTCTATACTCACCTACAAATCTCTTTCACAAAGGGTTTTTTTACTCTGTTTAAAGAAAAGTTCTGTATCTCCCTCATAGGCACTTGGAAAAGCAGAAATTGGACTTCGTGGTCCCTCCTCACCTGCACTTAATACTGCCCATTACCAGAATAGAAGGTAGGCCTTTCTCATCTTTCAACATCCAATTTAAACAGCACTTAGGACATGGTATTGAAGATATTTGCCAGTCTGTTTCACAGTTATTTATTCAAATTTGTGACTAACCAATAACGATTTAACAGAATTCTAACTAGAACCACCCTGAGATACTGGAGGAGAGATTTGTCTACACAATTCAATTAGGAAATAAGCAATTACTGGGGGAGGAATGAAAATTCTTAGAGATAAGAATAAGAGACAGGTGTTTCTCCAACTAACATATCATTATTCTGCCTAACTTACCAGTGCTGCTTGTAGTCTTTTTTCAGGTTACTAATCTCACAGTCCCCCTATTAAGTCTTAAGAGTTCTTTTTAATGTACTTTTAAGGCATTTCATTCTTTGCCTATACCCAAATACTTTTCACATTCTGATCTTAGTGATAAAAGAGTTCACAAAGACATCACACAGAACTCTATGAAAGTGCTAAGCAAATAATGAAGCTGTTATAATATCCCCTATTGCAGTTAGAAACTCTATAGTGTCCCAGCACCCAGAATTAGAACTGATAAGGATGACATATATTAGCATAACAGCCTTTATTTTGTGAGCCGCCCCCTTATCCACCACTCAGTTATCAGAAGCTTACCTGTCAGGTAAAATTCCTACTCTTTGCCTTAAGAATCTACAGATCAGGCTCCGTGAAAAGCAAATGCCCAAGGCCAACTGCCACGACCCAGAATACTTTTAAAATATCAACAGCTAATGGTGCCACTGTAGAAAAGGTCTCTATCACTGGGTAGAATGAAACAATGTAGATATTTTTAATAAAAACAATCCCTCAGCATTTATTGTCATCTGGTAATAACATAAGGGTAATCAAAGCAATATGAATAAACGTTTAATACACTCCCAACAAAGGACAACTAAAAAACACAAAATGTACTGCCATCTCAACAATTTCTCACTTCATTAGTCATTTCTAGTTGGAGACACTTTGAAGCAGAGTAATATTATCTCCTTTTAGCATGATCCGACCTGCAATACAAAATTAAAAAAAAAAGCTATTAATAGCCATTCAGACCTTTTTTAGCCTCAGAATTCTGAATCATTCTTTCGCAATTTTGAAAATACTTTCTCTTGTATGTGAACGTTTTCAAATATCCATATATTAAGCATACACACTTTTAAAACAATAACCTAATGAAGATAGAGAAATGTTATATTGTATAAAAAGTACAGTTTCTGTAGACGAAGTCAACTAAGTAGGTCTACCCCAACATTTCCCGATGCTCTGAGTTTATAGAAGTTGGGAAATGAGTTGTATGTCAAGTTTAGGGAATGCGGCATCCTATAACCCCATTCTTAAGAGCTCTCAGTATGTTAAAGATTTCATCCTTCAATAAAGAGACCTGTTTAAGTTTTACCCAACATTTCCTAAATTTGAGCAGAGAATACATTTTTCCTGAGAAATATCTATAAATATCTTCAGGAACACTGGTGGTCAGTAAAACTGTTTGAGAAATGCTGATCAACCCCAGTAGTGATTAAGTTGTTTCACTTAGGCTTCTACAACAGGTAATACTAATCTTCTCTATAGCATCTACAAAATACTACTACTAGTACAGGAATTCAACGCTTTGCAAATAATTTATAAATAATGTCAATAAGGCTAGCTTGCCCTCCCTGGCAAGACATGTTTAAATTTTTAAATCTAGCCTTTCAAAAAAATAGCCTAAGCAGGACGACACATAGCAACACATACCAATTCTCAGAATCTACTTTCTACAAATCTAGTACAGGCTCAAGAGAAGCATCAGGGCCTGGAAAAAAGACACACCTGAAGCCCACCACTGATAAAAGTACTAGTGAGCTGTGAACTGGGCATTAAACAATTAAAGACAAAATGTCTAAATAAACCTAAGTTAATGCCATTTTAACAAAAATGATTCTTGTCTTTGTCTTGATGAAGCCATGAATCCTGAAGACCCTCTATTAACTGGGTTAAGAAATTGTTTATTGATCAAATGTTTTGGAGTTTTGACTACATGGTAGGCACTGAGCATATTAGGGAGCAAAAAAGATGGGACTCATGCACTTACGGAGCATCTGGTCCAGTGGGAGAGAAACTAATATAATAGTCCCACTAATGAATGTTTTACTAAAAACTCAAAGAGAGCTCAGTACACTCTGCTTCTCTCTATTCCCACCCCAAGCAAAACAAAATCAAACTCCAGGAAGTGATCTGAGTTCTAAAGATCCAGGGAACAGGGTATACAAAGATTTACGGTGGGGCAAATGTGCCGATTCAAAGAACTGAAAAGACAAATGTGGATGAAGTTCAGAAAATGCAGCAGGGCATGACACAAAACAGATGGAGACCAGATCATGAAGCACCTTGCAGAATGCATTAAAGATTTTATCCTACAAGCAGCAGGAAGTCACTGAAGGATGTCAAGCAAAGGGGTAACAAGGTCAGACTGGTGTTTTTAAAAGATGACTGCAGCCTACAGATCAAACTGGAGGGGAGTGAGGTAGTTGGCAGAGAAATCAACTAGTCAACTGAATAGAAATTTGTGCCATCCAGTAAGGCAAGAACACTAAAATAGCTCTAAAAGTGTGTGAGGGGTGGAGACGGAGTCTGATTTCAGATATGCTAACTTTTGAAGAACCATTGAGACATTCAAGTAGAAATGCTGAATAAGCTCAGAGAGGTCTAGGGCTAGATGCAAATTTGGGAGTCAATATAGTCATGCACCACTTAACAATGGGGATACACTGAGACATCCATCAATTATGTGATTTCATAGTTGTGCAAACATAAAGTACACTTCCACAAACCTAGACAGTATAGCCTACTACACACCTAGGCTGTAGGTATGCCATCATGGTATATGCGGTCTGTTGTAAACTGAAATGTCATTATGAGGCACATGACTGCATATAGACGGTAACTGAAGGTATAGTCTTGAGTGCCTAATAATACTGAGTGACAGCGGGGTCTACAACCAAGCCTTGAGCAATTCAAACATTTAATGGTTGGGTCCCAAAGAATAAATATATGAAAAAAAGTCTGAAAAGGAGTAATTGGAAATGAAAACTGAAAACCTGTGTATGGTATCACAGAGTGAAAGGAACCAAGTGTCTTAAGGCAGGAGTGGCCAGCATTCCCAAACGCAGCTGAGAGTTCAGTAAAGTGAGACTAATACTGACCACTAGATGTAATACCTTTAGTCTTTGGTAACCTTAGTGTGAGCTGTCTGAGTGGAGACACAGAAGTAGGTAAGGAGTTAAGTGGCAGAGGATGATTTCACGAGTATAACCCCCCAAAAAATAGCTTCTCAAGGGCAAACTAAATTTAAACATAAAGTAAATAAATTTCTACAAGTCTGTAAGACCATCTATTTCCTTACCCAGCTGTTTTCGTGACTTTGTTTTAGAATGAATCTCTTCTGCATCATCTAATACGAGGTTCATATACTCATCAAAACCCTAGAAAAACAAGCCATTGACTGTCATCTTCAATAAGATCACATCCAAACCATTCTAAATAAATATACCTATCTAGATACAGAAATGCCAGCTAACTTCAGAGATTCACCCCTCCACTGATCTTCCAGCGAAACCACCTTCCACCCTAAGCCTCTTTTTAAATAACAAAGAAAGCCAAAATTTACTCCAAATTACTTCTGGACCCTTTGGACTTAAGATTTTATTAGCTATGCCAAAGAGCCGCTCTCCCTATCGTTTATAACCTGCCAATGTAGATATATGTGTGTAGATACATGAATTAACTTCTGCTACCACTTGTCCCATGTTCCTCACAAAATACTATCACCACTAACCATCACTCTTGTTTTCCAGCTAGTAAACAGGGAAGGTGACATTACTGAGGAAATCTATTATGTCTGAAGGCATACCGAAGTATCCTAACATTCGGCCATATTTCATCTTTCTTTAAAACATTATTTAGAGTATTCTGCCATCCTGGAAGTCTTATTTCACTAACCCCTCCTAGTTCTATTAGGTATCAACCCAAAACTAAGAATCCATTACTCCTCACCACATTCTAATTTTGTATTTTTTGTCCCCTCCTTCTAATACTAACATTGTTAAGTAATTTTTAAAAATTAATTTCCCCTCTATTTTAGGAATTATCCAGTTCCTATCAAGTGGAACAATGAGGCAAAGGCAGTGGGCCCGGAAACACTTTCCCTGGGTTGGGGTCTTTGACTTTTTGTACACTGCTCTGGCTGGTTATTTTTTGTGAGATATTTTTTTTTAAGAAACTGCTTTGAGATAAAATATCCTGGGTACTCACAATGATACAGCCCTCTATCCGCATATTCACTTGCTCGTAAAGCCACACCTGAATCCGAGATCGCTGAAATAATCATAAAAATAGAAACGTTAAAAATTACACAAAATCCAATCACTTTGGTCAAACAGAAAAATATGACTCCTAAGGGGAAAAAAAAACACACTTAAAAAATAAAAGCCACGAGTTTTAACCATTTGACTTATATCTCAGAATAACCAAGACTAGTTACTTGCCAAGAATCACTCTCATTTAATAAATGCTACATTGAGACTGTCTAATTTGATCTTCCTGTGACCTTGGGCCTCAATCGTATTTCTTGTTGCTTCTAGTTTCAATCATTTAGAGTGAAAATTGGTGACATATAGCACAAAGCAGTAATTTCTGAAAACCAAAGGCTTCTTTCTTATCTGCTATAGCAAAATTCAGCTCTAAAACAGCTTTCTCTGGTTTCTCAGTTTTCCATATCTCACACCTAACAACCAGGGAGAGATCCTCAATTCTGATGATTAAAAATTACAACGGCTTGAGGGGCTGCCGGTTAGCACGCAGGCTCATAACACCAAGGTTGCCGGTTCGATCCCCACCTGGGGAACTGAGATGTGCCCTCCACAACTAGATTGAAGACTACTTGAGTAGGAGCTGATAGGTTCTGGAAAACGCAACTGTTCCCCCTCAAGAAAATTTTTTTAAATAATAAAAATTACAATGGCTTGAGATTAATCTGTTTACAATTGTGTTGTCACACGCTAAAATTTGTCAGAACAAGAACTACATTTTTTTCCAGAGATAATTTAAACACTGTGCCCTGCTAACTCAGAATTTCAGTTGCCAAAAATCCCCTCCCTAGGAAAGCAGGCTGCCACTAAATCCTCTGAACCTATCCCTCCCCTATTTCTTTAGTGTCTTTTCTATATTTAAGTTTTCTCCCAAGTACTAAACCTACCACTTTAGTACGTGGTTTAAAGCTAATTGGATTTTTCTTCCAATGTCTTATCGTAGGGGTAAGAAGACGGAACGGTTCCAATGTTCTGGCCATAATCACTACTAACAAAAGTACCAACACCCAAACACCAGTCATGTCTGCCAATCATTACTTTTTGAAATTACTAGTTTTGGTTTTGCAAAGTTACAACACGATTCTTTACATGCTTGCAGCTGGCATGGCTACACACCATTTTATTATGTTAGAGCTTTCCTTGTACCCTTTCCACTATTTCATCTACTCTTAACTCTGGAACACAGTGATCACACAGGACGACAAAACAGCGAAACAAATTAACCTTTCACTTAAAAAGTACGAAACAACAACAAATAACTTACGTACATTTTGCAAATATCGGAAGATGAGGTTCTGCGCCAACGGTTAAGGAAAAAAATACAGGCATAAACTGCTCCCTGAAACTGGGCAACCCTATCCCCATCGCACCTTTGTTTTCGGAACGCAAAGTCTGGCGCCTACACCAAGAAAAGGGCCTAAGTATGGACTCATCAGGGGTCCCCTAAATAATCTGGAGAAATTCCCTCTCACTGTATTTCTCTTGGGAGTTTCCTTGGCGTCACCATTTGCTCCTTCCCGAGGCCGATACCTCCCGCTTGCACTCAGTATCTAATTAAGGTGGTGCCCCTTCGCTCCCCACCCCCTCACCGCCCTTCCCGCATTCCCCCGGCAGGAGGCCCAAGCCCGCCTCCCACCCATCCCGCTTCCTCAACGGCCCGCGTTTTGTCCCGGCCGTGGGTGCCCCGGGGGCTCACGGGATGTGGGTCCGCACTCGGCTCCCTCAGGCCTGCTCCCTGTTTGCTCCTTAGCCCCCCTTTTCTAGCCCGAATCTCCCGGTCCTGACATCACGCGTAGGATACGATAGGCTGCACCATCACCTTCTGCACCTTTTGGCCCTGACCACGGTACGCCATGATGGAAGCTGACAAAGACCACACAAACCCGCACGCTGCCTCAGAAAGCTACTTCCGGAAAGAGAAACGGAAGCGGAAGTGTACGGTGCTCGCGCGGCGGCCTGGGAGCCTCCGGGGAAATGCTTCTCTAGCCACGGGGGTACAACTTTTCTTGGTGCTCTGTAGCCTCCGGGGGAGGCCAAATCGTGGTGCCTGCACTTTAGGACGGGGTCGGTCCTACAACGCCACCTGGAGGGAGGCGGCGGATACGCCGGCATCTTTGAGTCTCCGTTTCCTGAGCCGGCTTTAAGCGCCAAGTCGTCCCGTTGCGTACCTCTGTCTGTTAGGTGGGGTGTTTTAATGCTTTTGTAAGGCTTGCGTTCCTGGAATTTAGGCTTGATGGCAGCGTTGTGGTGGAGAATAGGGCGGCAAGAAGCCCAAACGCAGGACTCGTACACCTGGCACTGTCACCCACAAACTATCTGAAAAAGCCAGCCTCTGTGGTTTGCTCCGTTACCAATTCATCGCTCATCTTTGTGGAAGTTACTGTAAGGTGGCGACAGAGCTTGGCTATTCAGCGTGAAAGCCCCGAAATCTGATTGCTGGGCTCAAATCCAGCTCGCATGGAGTGTATCAAGGATAAGTTCCTAAGCCTTGCTACGTCTCGGCTCAGTTACCAAAATGGAGATAAAAACATTCCTCCCTCATTGGCCTGAAGTTTCAGTAAAGTAGTACTGTGTGTGTACACATTAAGGCCGGAGTGTTTTAACAAATCGTTTTGTGGGTAATACAGCTGGAAGGGGAGGAGCTGGAATTTGTTAGGTTATGTCATGGGGGCCTCGCAGAAATTTCATTTAATTGAAATACCCGTTTTATAGATTGAGGAAACTGAAGCTCAGAGTTGAAGCAACTTGTCTAAGGGGACAAGTGGCAAGTGGCAGAAACATAACTTGCTTAACTGAGGTCTTCTGTTTAAGGAGAATAATACTAATACCAACCTCATAAAGGTGTTGAGAACGAAGAATATGAAAGTGATTTTTAAACTATAGAGAGCTAGAAAATGCATGGGATAATTATTTCTTTTAAGAAATTTCCCTGCCAAACCTAATAGAGCATCATGTTGTGCACAGAGGAAACTCGTTAGATTTGCTGTATTTATTTATTTATTTATTTATTTTAGCTGAGCCATCCTGCCACCTGTTGGCAGCTCAGTGGCTGCTCAGCTCAGGCCAGGACTCGAACTCGCTGTTGCTCAGAGCTCAAACTCTTGAGTGAGCTCTTAATCAACTGAGCCACTTGGCCAGCCCAACATCTGCTAAATTTAAAGACAGCATATATAGAGGCAGAGATGCTTAGCTACTTGCTTTTGGCATTTTCCTGTTTCTGAAATGATTTCTAAACTTTGGGGGATTGATCTCTATAACCAGTCATTTGACTGATTATACAACTCATCAGAAGTGATTTGCTTTTTAAAAAAATTATTTTGCTTTTTTACATTGAAATCTTTTAATGACATTTAGTCTAGAATTTATCCCAGTGTATGCTAGAACTGATACAGCTTTTAATTTCTAGATGGCTGCCCAGTTTAACATCATTACAAAAAAAAAACCCCCCACAAAAAAACCCCATTGTCCCCATTCAATTTAAAATGCTACATTTATAAATATACCAAGTATATGTACGCATATATGTATGTATACAGTGCATATTTTGTTCAATTGATCTTTGTGTATCACTGTTATAAGTATTGTAGATTTATAATGTTTTATTTGATATGACTAGAAGTATGTAGAATTTTCCTAGCTATTCTTGGTTATTTTTCTTACAAACTTTAGAATTAGCTTATCTAATTAAAAAAATTCTTTTGGTATTTTTACTGTGGTTACATTAAATTCTAGAACCTTAGAATTAATTTTTAAAAATCTAAATACATGATGTCTTTCTACTTGTTCAAATTTTCCTTTGAGTCTTTGAGAAATTTTTGGGTTTTTTTAGTTTCTTTTTTCTCATTTATCTAGTTTAATCATAGATATTTTATATCTCTTGTTCTTAAAAGTTATCTTTTCCTCAATTTTAAGCTTTAGTTGGTTTTTAGAAGAAAATGATAAATTCAATTACATAAAAATTATAGTTTTACATGTCTAAAAAGCCACCATAATAGGCAAAGTCAAAAGATCTAGGAAAAACATATTTGCACTGTATAAAATATATTTGCACTATATCAAACAAATGGCTAATTTTATATCAAACAAATGGCTAATATATAAAAAAGCTTTTAAAAAACGCTGTTCTGGTTCTCTATTGCTGTGTAAGAAATATTCCAAAATTTAGTAGTTTAAAACAACTGTTTTGTTATAATTCATGATTTTGTGAGTCAAGAATTTGGGTAGGGCTCAGCTGGGTGATTTTTCTGCTCCAGAAGACATATCTAAGGCCTTGGTATATGTATTTGGAAGGCTGGCCTCAGGTGGGTCCTTCTCCATGTCTGTGTAGCCTCTGGGCCTCACCACCTGGCCTCTCTGGCAGAGTAGTATGCTTTCTCATACGGGGGCCCAGGGCTCTAAGAAACCAAGGCTGAAGTTACCCTTAAAGGCCAAGCCTAGAACTAGTATAGTATTCACACCCCAGGTTCAAGGGCTGGAAAAACAGAGCCCACCCCTGGACAGGACATGTGTTAAACAATTTGCAGCTATTTTTAATCTGACACAAAGACCCAAAATAAAAATTGGCAATGGATGTGAACAATCAGTTGACAGCAAAGAAAATACAAATGGTCTTCAAACATGAAAAGTTGCCCAGCTTCACTCATAAGACAAATGCAAACTATACTACACCGAGACAGCATTTTCCCCCACTAGACTGGCAAAGATCAAAAAGTAGTGGTAATGTCAATGATTAAACTCCATTTGTAGGTATTTAATTCTACAGATAAACTTACATGTGCGGTATAATTTAATACTTATTGTTTTAAAACACCAAGACAGGAAACAACCTAAATGTCCATCAATAGGGACTTGCTCAATTATTGCATATTCACAGAGTGTAGTACTATAGACAACTATAGTCAAGACTGAAGAAGCTCTTTGTGTCCTGATATGAAATGATACCCAATATACAGCAAGACAAAAACCAAGCTATGACATATCTGAGATTTACTTCAAAATAATCTAGTGGACCCAGCAGGGCTGGATCTCAAGTGGGACAAGCCTAAGGAGCAAAATTTAAGGAGTCACACTCCTATATGCGAGTATAACCCCAAGAGTGAGTACCTCCTTGAATTATGCCCAGGTACCTTGCTTACCTCACCCTAGTCTCAGCCCTAGGGGCCAGAAAAAGGAATGGATAATTTGGTAAGGGTATAAATGAAACAGGATTTGTAATGAATTTGTAATTCACAATTTAAAACTACTCAGAATAAAAATATAAACATTCATAATAAAATAAGGTGCAGAATATCGTGTTTTATACATGATATTGTATGGAAGTATATTTGCTTATATATCAGGTCCTCAGATAACATTTCATTCAGCATCATTTCGTTTTAACATTGATGAGATGCCTAGAAACTTAATTATTGTTTATATCAACTAGCCTATGGTAAAATTGGTTTCATTATACATTGTTTGAAGTGCAGAACCTATTGATGATGTTAAATAAGGACTTATTGTATATGCCTAAAATATCTGTGGAATATATGGGAAACTGATAACATTGGTTTTGGAGAGCTGGGTAGCTGGGGTAGTAGTAGGAGGGAGGATGAATATCATTATATACATTTTGAATCTTGAAGCTTTGCAATGAATATATCACTAATTCAATGAATTAATTGATAGTGGAAAGTACTATGAAACATTTCTTTTTTACTGCAACTAATCTTAATGTTCTTGTAAAATTTGAGATTTTCATGTCACTCCCAAGGTATCTGCAAAATAAGCTTGAGAATTACTAGTCCAGAGACATACCCTGAGAAGGGGCACCTCCAGGCTTCTCAAACATTGAAGAAACTCCTTCCTCTCAGCTTGCAGTGCCTTCCATCTCAACCAGAAGCCTTATAACTTGCTAAATGGCTGGGATTAATTAGAAGCATGCCAAAGAATGGGGATGAGAAAAGACAGGGGCAGTCTAGCAAAGATCAACAGTCCCTAAGCGGGTCAAGAACGTTTTCATTTATTCGGCAAATTTTTTTTTTTAAAGATTTTATTGGGGAATTTGGGGAGGGGTAGAGTTGGTGAATCGGGGAAAGGGAACAGACAAGTTGCTGTTGGTTTGTTCTTCAGTCTAGTTGTGGAGGACGTCGCTTCACTGGCCCATATTGGTATTATCATTGTGCTCTTCCCTGGTGAGGCAGTTGCTCGCCAGCCATTGGATGGCAGCTCACACCCGCTGCTGGTCAGCCCCACTGCAGCCTACGCCAGCGACAGCGACTCACAGCAGCCCAGCTGCAGGTTGAGCTGTTGTTCACCATCTTAGCTATAGAGGGCGCAGCGTCACTGGCCCTCATATGAGATCCAAGCCAGGGCCCTGATGCTCAGAGCTGGCGTTCCAAGCCAACTCAACCAACACGCCACTCAGCAAATATTTACTGAATGCCTTATGGGTGAAGTGTGCCCCCACGAAGCTTGTATGTTGAAGCTCTAACCTCCAGTACCTCAGTATGTGATTGTATTTGGAGATAGGCCCTTAAAGAGGTAGTTAAGATTAAATGAGGTCATGTGGGTGGGCCCTAATCCAAGGTAACTGGTGTCTTTATGAGATTAAAACACAGATATGTGCATGCAGAGGAAAGACCATGTAAGGGTATAATAAGATGGCCATATGCAAGCCAAAGCGAGAGACCAAACTTGCCAAAACCTTGGTCTTGAAACTTCTCCTCCTGTTTGAGTGTTCTTGATCCATCCAATTTCCTATTTCACTTGTACTTATTCAACAAGAGGAGTCTTTTATTTGAGCATTTTTCCTTCTCTGCCTTTTTCTGTCTGAATCTTGGCTGTTTACTCTTATTCTTAACTCTACAGGATGTTATTTTACTCCTGAGGACAAACCTGTCAGTCTAAAGATGAAAAACCCGTAGGGACAGGCAATACCAAGTTTTACTACAGTGTTT